TCTCCTCTTCCTTCCTTTCTAGTTGTCATGGATGATGATGATGACTCGTGTCTCCTTGATCTTATTGGGTAAGATGCTCATTCCCAAACCAGAGTAAATCAAATGTATAAGGTTTGCTGAACTAAGACAACCTAATAGCGTATTAAAACCTGGTAGGTTCTTTAAGTAAAAATTAAATGATCATCGTAGATATAGTAGGGAGACAAAGAGACATGGATTAATATAGAGGTCATAATTCAGTAATCCTTTATTAAATTTGCTCTCTAATAAATCCCAGGAGACAGAAAATGAGTGATAATAGGAAATGGGACAACATCAAAACAAAAACAAAATAAAAATAAAACAAAAAACTGCTAATAAAATTGTTTTAAAAACAGGGAGAGGATTTCACTCAGTTTAATATTTCATTTTCTTTTTACTGTAGTAAAAATTAGTCCTAAGTATAGGGAATGTATTTGTTTGTCATTTTCCTTGGTTTTTTTTTTTCTTTTCTAGAGACCCACAAGCATTGAACTATTTTCTGCATGGACCTAGTAATAAATCTGTAAGTAATACTTAGAATATCACAGACAGAAACTTTGTTTCTTCTTTATAGTTAAAGTAATCTCTTTCTCGAATTTGTACCTTTACAGAACAATGATGACCTGACTAATGCAGGATATTCTGCAGCCAATTCAAATTCAATTTTCGCCAACTCTAGTGTGAGTATTGGAAATGAATGCAATGATCGAGTGGTTTCTGTCTCGTTGATGCCTTCCGAACTGATGCTTTAGTTGCCTTTGTATCATGATAAGAATCCTTACCTTGTCTTTTGTAATTTACATGGGAGGGAAATCCGTTGAATTATGTAGACATTTTTGTACTTTTAACTTAGTTAGGACAAGCTATGTAAGAGTTATTTTGCCATTTTTCTAAGCTTTCAACATTCTAAAATGACTCAGAAATGTTATAACCTGAGAAAGTCCCATTAGGAAGTTTTGAACCTTATAAACTTTAAAGAAACCATTCTCTTTTTTTTCTTTAGTGCTCCCTAAAAGAATCATCCTTAATCACAGTAACTTACAAATTATTTTCATCTTAAACAAGGAAAA